GTCGGACCAAATATTTGTTTGGTCTACAAATCTTTCTTACGGAGTTTTGGCGTTTTCTATGTATAATATGTATGTATTTACAAAAAAAGTAAATAAGTATTCTATCAATCGATCCAGCCGTTTTGTTATATATAACGGCCAGCCGCCGTATATATGTAATATATTCGCTATTCAAAGAAATAAATTGAAATGTACGAGAAATCCAAAGACTTTATATGTATACTGGTTAGAAAATAGCTACTTAAATGTCAGAAATCACGGTCAAAGGTCAAATTTTCGATTTGAGATTAATTTCCTATACCTTGACGTTAAATCTCCTAATCTTAATATTCAATCTGGCCGCTGGTTACGTCCCTTCGCTGCTGTCGACACCGTTTTGAGAACGATCGTAAGCCAGTCATTATTTACTGTTTGTATTTACATTACAAAGTGATCAAATACTCTTAATCTTGAGAGTATTTGATCACTTTGTTAGTTGTTATCAGAATTATAAATGGTATTTTCGTTTCGAGCAAATCTCAAAGCTGGAGTAAGTTAACGATGTGAATCAACGGTTCTAATTTTGAGATTGTTTTTTTTTGTAAAGACAACTCCCGCATTATAAACACACATGTAACGTACACAAAGAACACCCAGACTCAGAACAAAAATTTGTGGATCACACAAAGCGTCGTCCCATGTGGGGTATGATCCCACAACACTACAACGCGTAGTAGGAATCAGCATGACGACCGCTTAAACCACCACCCCATCCGTGCATGTTTTTTCATCACTGAATATGACAGGTACTTTTCTTCTATTGTATATGACTATTGCAGTCAAAACTTGTTGTAAGAAACAGGTATATTATTCGTCTTCACTTAATAACTTTTGGATAATATTTTCCATATTTCATTACGATTTTATTTCCAATGAGTGTTGTCGTCAGGCAGGCAGCCTACTATAAAGATAACCAGCTAAAACCCTAACAAGCTTAGTACTGAATAATTTGCTCCAACACCTAAAGCATCTTCTGATTCTACAGCTACCTTTTCACCGCATCTTGGGCGTAAACCATGCAAGAAACTTAACTATGCACTGAACCGAATCCTACGCTTATATTATAGTCACTAAAACAAATGCCATATACGTAAACAGAACAAAATGCCTTTAATTTGTCACGATGACGGGTGTGTTGGTCTAATGGTCAGCGAACCCGACTCCTAAGTCAGAACAAGTCACAACACTCGAAGTGTGTGATTACCAACCAGGACAAATAGGTACTGTATGATCAACACAATCATTTGTTTTGTGTCTGGGTGTAATTTATCTACAATATGTATGTATAATCATGTATAATCAGTATCTGTATCAGCTCTGCCTAGTTTGGGATCAGACGGCCGTGTGTGAGATGTGTGAAATTATTATTATTATTATGTCATTTTATACCTTGTCTGGTATCCCTTTTATTTTAAAGGGGTAACAAAATCTAACACACGGGCCTTAGCCAAGTGTGCCAAAAAGGGATGATGATATGAAGTTAAGATGATGAGGATGAAGCGAGAAATTTGCGTGTGAGACGGCATGTGTTAAGAAGGACTGCTTTTTGTAAGAGTATGAGAGAGGATTTCGGCATTTCCAATGTGTTGAAGCTATCTTGAAGAGTTTTCGGTACTACACCAGTTGTAGATATGACAATGGGTACTATTTTAACTCTATCTACCTGCCATTGCCTTTTTATTTCCGTTGCTAAGTATGTGTATTTTGTCATCTTTTCTGTGTGCATCGTGAGGAGATTGTGTGTGTTACATACTGCTATGTCTATAATAAAAACTATTTTGTTAGTTTTGTCTAGTATTGTTATATCCGGTCTATTATAATGTATAGTTTTGTCGGTAATTATTGTCCTATCCCAATATATTTTAAATGCATTATTTTCAAGAACTGTACTGGGTTTATATTTATAATAAGCAGTTTTATTTGAAATAAATGAGTATTTGTGAGCTAGATTTTGATGGATTATTGCTGCAACTTGGTCATGTCTGTGTTTATAATCAGTTTGTACAATAGATTTACAAGAACCAGTGATGTGTTATTATTATTATTATTAAGAAATGTACAAATGTGCCCAGTTAACAGCAATAAGCTTGCCCCTATTATACTTATTTCAAATAGTAATCGAATCAGGTAGTCACAGGACAGGTTTTGCCTGGTGTGGGACTACTGAATACCGCATATTATTGTAAAGGTTACTTGGCATCATACGATTTTTTTATTGCATGAGTGGGATTTTAATGACAGATTGACTGCACGGATGGCGTAGTGGTTTAAGCGGTCGCTACGCCGCTTCCCACTAAGCGGGGTGTTTTGAGTTCGATCCCCACATGGTACACCATAAAAAGACATTATAAAAAGAAGATTATAGCTAGCAAAATGTGATCATTTAATATGTCTCTATCTACCACCTTACCACCATAATACCACCATAATACTTATTTCTAACTCATGTAATCAACAGGTCATATTTAAACATTACATAAGTAAAAATAAACCCCATTGAGCGAATCTTACTTAATATTAACTTAACAAATCATACACGTTTACGCTTATGTGTATTGTTTGTGTTACACGCTATTATGGGTGTAACACACGATTACGTTAAACTTCAAGCGTATACTGAGCACGGTGAGCACGCACAGTGAAAGCGCTTCCCGATTGCACAAGAGTGTGGTGACATTGAAATATATGCTTACGTGTAAACAATTTAATATTTCATGTTAAAAAACTCACTAAAAGAAATCGCCTACAAAAATATTATTAAATATTAACCTTACTAATATGTAGCACAAATTGAGACAATAACGTGACAAATTCACGTTTGCTCGAATATAACTTTTCTGCAAAAAATGAATCAAATAACCTTTGCCAGCAATGTATATTTCTTAAAAACGTGAATGTTATGGCAATATTAAGCTTAATTGTAGACTATGGTGCTTCTGTGCGTCTTTATCATATACAGGATCTAATCTGAAATTAAAAAAAAGGATAGGAAGATGATGAGTTGAACAATAATGGCCCGAAAGCATACACAAAGAAACAAAATCAGCTAGAAATCTTTTGTCACTTAATAGGTCATTTATGATTGTGAATGTAACACTACCTGTAACACCAGAGAACAAAAGAAGCTAATGTTATGCCTGCTCACGCTAATCTCTAAACAACACCTATTGATTCGTGTCGTTCCATTAATGGTTCGGCTTTCCATGATTGGCCAATATTAGATAGACGTACGTACAAAAGGTATTACGTACAATGTCCAGTGCCTTCTACATAATACCTTCTGTATCTGTAGGAATTGAGTTCAGAAAACTTAAAACTGCTTCCTGAAGAGTACACAGCTAGATTTGACCAGGAGATAGTGACTTTTCTTCATTATATCTTTATTATGTTTTAAGTTTATTATTGTGTAGTATATCGTTTTAAACTAATCAGATTCATTATTTTCTTAAGTACTTTAAGACTATAGAAAAGCGTAGCAAAATACCATTATTTTCATAATGTTATGCTTCTAGTGTTGTGGTTTACCAGAGTTACTTATAAAGTTGACAACAGATAAAAACTCTAATCTTCCAAGTTTTAATAGTCCATGGTTAGCGATTAGCGGTAAACAATTAGTAATTTGCCAGGAACAGTTCTCACAAACTTCACCTGGGATTTTTAGTCATTGCCCGGCTCTATATAGTCTATAGCAGAACCTTTTTCAAAAATGATACTATAAAATTTAAAAAGATTTTTTTAAAAATATAGTTGGTAGTTCCAGGGTGCATAAACAAAAACTAACTTTTTTGTTTCGGATTTTAATGATCAATTTAGTGGCAAGATATGGTTAGTTTATATAAGTTAACACAATGCAATGTAGTCGTTTAAGTTTTTCCATATGCAGCACATCCTCTTCATACAAATTTGAAACAACAGAAGTTCCAATATTAATGTCTGAGAATACCCAGGAGAGCTGAGTGAGCTCTTTTAATGTTGGTAGGTATATTATTAAATTTAATGTTAATTCATACCCTGGAATATTATAGTATTTGCTATCGTTTCTTTGTTTACCTTTGCTCAGCTGTTCAATTTATGATATTAGGGAAACAAAATACATAAATGATTCGTTTTTAAATTAAAATAGTCATATTTGAATTGTAAGCTGAAAATGTCGACGCCAAATGACGAATAGTTTAATTAAAATTTTACAAAAGACAAAATATTAGGAAACCATAAAAAGACTATAGTCCTTTGTCATCAACAACCTTTGATAGTCTACTGCTGAACATAGGCCTCTCCTTAGAAAAGAGGTTACGTATAGTCCTAGACATAGTTCTCACGAATTTTTTAAATGAACAGGAGTAGTTGACACAAGTGAATTCTAACTTGAGAGCTTAACTAGTGGGTAGTCATTAAAGGCTCCCACAATTATCTACTACCAGTTGATTTGTACCCTATTATTGTTGTATCAAAGGCATGACATACTGTGTGGTGTGTGGGTTATCTTATTATTTACTACCACATACTACATATGTACATACATATGTACTACAAACATTTGACGATAACAAATTATCAAAGAAATGTTGAATACATTTCTTTCATAGTTTGTTATCGTGATGTAGTTATTATCACCTACTTGTCTCTTTTCAATTGTACTCAAGTACAATTGAAAAGAGAACAACAAGAGGTAAACATTATGTAAAAGTAATATTTTAAACGGAGGAGGTTTTTCTTTCATACCACCCCGCTTGCCAACCAAAAACCTTACTCGAGAAGTTATTCCTTGGCAAACTGGTCAACGATAAAAGGTTGCTTGGGATAAGGAAAACTGTACCGGATACCACATTTTTCGGATAAGGAAATAGAGCTGATACTTAAGTACCAGGTTCAAGAATCTGCATGTCAGAGATTCCACTAACTATAATAGGGATTTGAACCGGCCAAATAAAATTAACATTCGTTTTTTCTCCTTTTTTCAGTGATCCTCGGAAGCGCCTCCATCATCACGTGCGTGCAAGTCGAAGATCCATGCAAGACAAAGTCACGAGTAGTCGCTGACGACAAACATTGTGACAAATATTGGGAATGCGACAACGGCCAATCTGTTCAATATGACTGCCCTAACGGTCTGGTGTTTGCCGGCAAACACAGAGGGGTGACCGAAGGATGTGATTATCCGTGGAGGTCAAATTACTGCGAATATCCAAAAATTCAAGCCAGTAAGTTATTTCTATGTATTCTTTTGATCATATTTCGCAGTTAAGATTTTGATTTTGAACTTTATGTTGTTAGACATAAAGAGGCTTATAAGGCTGTTGCAACCGGAAGCTTTCCAATACTACTAAATTATGAAAAATTGTAGTAAACTGTGTTCTTTATTCCTCAATTTTCCATACTTCGGAGTGAATTTTTTCTTCAAATTTGAAAGAAACCAAGCGGTTAGTACATCCTTTCGGAAAACAAATCCAAATCGGTTCATAAACGAGTTCTATAGCAACAAACATAAAAATAACAAAAATGAATGAATAAAAAACGAACAGAAAAAAACGAATAGGAATACAGCCGAATTGAGTACCTTTGAAGCCCATTAAAAAAGGGTTAATTTTTTTTTCATGTTGTTTTGTCGTAGTACTTCTACGAGTATAACAATTTGGCCTGAATTATGGACTATTATGTGTCATATTCCATTTTCACCCTTTCCACAGACCCGCCTATCGGGACAGAGCACTGCGACTGGCTGTACGGCATCTTCGGGCACGAGACCTCGTGCACCAGGTACTGGACCTGTTGGAACGGTACTGCTACAGAACAGCTCTGTATCGGTGGTCTCCTCTACAATGAGAACGCCCATTCTTGTGACTGGCCTGAGAACGTCGAAGGCTGTCAGAAACATCGTAAGTAATTTGTACATTTCTTTTCAATGCAATCGATTTATTGACAGGTTTTAGCTTTGAATGGATTTATTTTCAGCCTTGAATGAAGCAGTAATGATTTAAGCGGTCGCCACGCCGCTTACTACTTGAGTATTGTGGGTTCGATCCCCTTTTTTTTCCGTGCGGAAATCCCCTCGGATACCACCTATCTACCTACCTACCTAGAAAGGAAGTCCCTGGTGCCCCGACATACCTCGGGCCATCTACAACAACAGGTAGACGACCCCGTGTGGGAACCCCATGTTCCCTCTGCTCCCTCTGGGTGTTCTTTGTGTCTGTTTCATGTATGTATGTAAAATCCCCCGGGACACAGGATATATTCCTAATACGGGAGTTGTCTTTAAAAAAAAGAGAGAATACAATATTCCTTGAGAATTAGGTAACCAAAGTTACTGCAGGCTGCCTATAACATAAAGTTACTGCAGGCTGCCTATAACGTTAAGTTACAGATTTGACTCCCAAAACATGCTGCAGCTTATTTAGGTACATGTAGTTTATATATACTTACACACACCTGTGTATTAGCAAAGAAGAAGACCTGAATGTATTTGCACTAACATTTCACTATCCGTATTTTATGGTGCCACGTGACACAAAGGTAACCTATTATCATATCGGGCATGTTTTTAGACACTGTTCTATCATAGAAAATTTTCTGAAAAGAAAGCATAATGACCGTCGTACCGGACGAAAAGAACTACTTACTGAACAAAAAGAACAAAATTCGTCGTGCAATTTTTTGTTAATACTTTCTTTGAAAGATCCAGGCACTTATGTCTTGCACTTCTTTTTAATTGACGTGAAGGTTTTTGTTTCTTATTTGAAACATCAGATAGACGATTCGGAGTTTAAGCCTCACTGTTGCATATAGTCTTACAAAAAAAAAGGGTTTACGTGGCTTTCCAATCCAATCATCCAATCATTTATTTTTAATTTTACAAAATAGATATAAATATATGTTTGTTATCTAACTATTTTTCGACAAATATTCAGTGTCTAGATGTAATTTATCTATAATATGTATGACATGTAAATATTTAGAAATATTTAAGTAAATTTATCAGCAGTCTGGTATTCAAAGCACAGGCGCTGTCTAGGTTGGGATCAGACTGCCATGTGTGTGTGTGTTTACGAGAAGTGTAAAGACAGGATCAATTCGACACACGATAATAATGGTAGCAAATATATTACCGTATATCATTACTAAATATCAGTCGCAAAAGTCTTTATTCTTACATGAATAGAAGATTACTCGTATTCTCCACAAATTCTATTTCCTTTATGAGAATAATTACATAAGTCAAGAGAAAATGTGAGGCTGTTAGGCTCTTTGTGTAATTTAGTTAAGGTTATTGGAATAAGATAGTTATATACACACATACAATTATATAATATGTATATCAGATTATGGAACGCCTAATCGATATCCAAAAGACGTGCCCAAACACTGACAGCATTTAAGAATATGGCCAAAGACCACAACTTAGGTTCTTGAGTATCTACTCTTTGCTTTCAGTAACTTTACATGACTAAATGGTTTCATGGTTATCAATACATATTGTAAATATTATTTATATATATATGTATGTGTGTGTGTAGTTACATATAATATAATTCATATATTTATTTTTACACTTCTGTGGCTTAAATACACCTAGGCTACCCATTGTTTCTTCGCATCTTCTGTCAATTTCTCCATCAAAGGTTGCCTGTAAGAGATTGCTTTTAGCGATAAGGCCGCCCATTGTACATATCCGTATGTAATATTCAACTAACAGATTGTAATTGGTGTACAATAAAGAATATTTTATTCTATTCTATAACATAATCATAATTTTTATCGCATTTATTAAAAATCTTATCTTAATTAATATATACTGATAAAATTACTTGCAGCTGATACTGATGACGCTGTTGATCCTTTCTTAAAGGATTTTCGGAAATTACAATGCTAAAGGACTAAAATAAGGGAGTGTATGGAAGCTCAACCTTTTCAAACTTCAAAACACGAAATAAGAAAACCCCACGGGAGCGAACCCGCGGACAATAGCTAGTAGTGTTATGAAAGCGCATGTTGGGATTTATGTTTGTTACTCGATTACGCCAAAACGGCTAAATAGATCTCGACAAAATTTAGCACAGAGATAGAGGATATTCTGGAATAGCACATAGGTTACTTTTCATCCCGGAAAACTGTTTTACTAAGCGAACGCAAACGAAGCCACTAACAAAATTAGTTTCTTGATGTGCCTGTACGATATGGCGACATTTTTTTAGAGTATTAAATAAAACACGGAACACTTACAACTGTGCCAGGGTAAAGAAGAATACTCCCAAATCAATTAATTTCTTGATAAGACTTCCTGTAATCACCTTGGATGGAAATAAGTCGGTCTTGTACCTGAAGACACATGATATCAAATTCTATATTAATCTAAATATAGTATTAACAAATTAAGAAATTACATGCCAACACGATAAACTGGAGCTGTAATTCGGAGGCCCAGGTAACTCTAAGGGTGGTGTCTTGAATGCAGGTGGGCGGAGGTCGTCACTTACTAGCAGTTTTATATTATTATTGTTATATGTTATTAATGTTGTGATGTATGTATACAATGTGTACTACATGTGTTATGTGTACTACATGCAACAGGGTTTACGCATAGCATCATTTTGGGCCCAATTGAAAACCAGCGTCAGGCTTCCATCTGACATAAAGCTGAATTGGGTCCGTTTTTGGCATCGTTGGTAATCCAAGTTGCAATTGTTCAAAATGTATTATTGCCAAAATAAACGATTTTTCTTTCTTTCTTCTTTCTTTCTTTCTTTCAGTCTGCTGATCAGTTTATCTTCTATAAAAGAAAAGAATATGCATAAATTAAGTATTTTAAGCGGTTGTAGCACAATTACTAAAACAGACTAAGACTATGGAATTACCATAAAAAAGATAGGGTTTGAACCATGCGTACTACACTAATTGAAGCTTCAAGTTCTGGTGACTATGAAACGAAGGATCTCTATCAACAATATGCTGACACAGCTGACCCCATAAAGTTCACAGAAATAATATAATAATAATAATATTTTCGGACATTTCACATAACGCCATTTAGTTTTAAACTAATCAGAGCTTGTACTATGAAAGCTAGATTGGCTGATAGAATACTTAGATTCTTTTTTTTGTAAATACATACATATTATACATAGAAAACATCCAAATTCCGAAACAAATATTCGTAGATAATACAAACATTTGGACCCGGGAATCGAACCCGAGACTTCAGCACAGCAGTCGCATACGCTACCACTGCACCACCGAGGCAGTCTTCAGAGAATCTTCTGAGAAATGCTATGGTCAGGACATGATTGCCCGGCAATAGCAAATTTAATTTACAGCCATGCACACTCGAGCTGTTGCTTATCCATATCCATACCTACGACCAATATCTCTTTCCTACTTCGATCAATAATTGATCGAAGCTTTCCTACCCACTTCTTTCATACTTCGCATACGCTACCGAAACGCCAGCGAGGCAGTCAAAAAGATATGTGTAATCAGAATTTTTAAAAGTTATCAAAGGAAACCTAAATCACACAATACCTTGACCTGTGGCTGTATTGATGACTAACTATTACACGCGACTTCGCTCCCTTGATTATTTCTTATTACGTGTTTCTAACTTTGAAAACCACGAACTTCCATGCGATCTTTCATCCCTTATCTTACTTCCTTAGGGGTAAAATTGCCGAAAATCCTTTCTTAGCAGGTGCTTACAACATAAAAAGCATCAGCTGCCAAAATGTTGTAACCCCAGCAGTTAAGGCTCTACGTTAACGAATAAATCAGTCACGGCAAGTAATTCTAGAAGTATAGATAATGATGAAAGCGTTACATTTTTCGTGTGCAATACCGAACAGAAGTTGTTAGGTTTTTTGTAATAGTACATTTACCTACGAACCTTTGCAGTTCCATTAACTACCGCTAATAATACAAACACGTTATGAATGAAACAGATTCTCTTCAGATCATTAGTCACTATCATCATTGCACAATATAATATTAAGTAACGTGACCATAATTTAGATACACAAAGGCTTTTATGAGTAATGATCTGGCCATTTATTGTTGACGCAAATGTATCTACAGCTACTTATAAACTGTAATGGTTTCTTTTAAATGAGTTGTTTCAGATTTTCTTAAATGTAATTCAGCCTTTTTAAAAAGGAAATAACTTTTAAATTTGAATACAGGCAATAAAAATTCGGTTTTCGGAAAATCTCATTAACAGTAATCATTAGGTATCTTTGATTATAAATAGTTATTAATTATACAGTGTTGTGTTGCGATGATTATATACATTTTTAAGTCCACTATCTATAACTGCACGGATGGCGTAGTGGTTTAAGCGCTCACCTCGCCGCTTCCTACTGCGTTGAGTGTTGTGAGTCCGATTCCCACATGGGACAACACTTTGTGCGATCCACAAATTGTTGTACTGAGTCTGGGTGTCCGTTTACTGTATGTTTGTAAAGTCCCCCCGACAAAGGATATATCCCTAGTGCGGGAGTTCTCTGTTAAAAAAAAACAAAATCTTTAGGTACATTTAGTTAGTTATAACGACAAAAAATATTGAGTATTGAGTGTTAAGTGTTAAGTTATTTAAAAGTCTGGGCTTCAGAATTAAAACTTACCTTCACCATTTCAACAAAGTTTTACAATCGTAACTAAAATACTTGAATCTTCTATCATTGTGATGGATAACAAATCAATCCATATTAGGTATATAAAACAATTATATAAATTTTCTTGACTATAGAGTCAAAATACCGAACATAATCCGTTAAAAAAAAAGGTTTAGAATTTGAGTTTCATTTAGAATCAAAGCAGAAATACTCAATTTCAGGACTTCAGTTATAGGAACAACTGCTGTGTGCATTACTATAATACGAGTATACTCACACACGGCCGTCTGTGCCCAAACTAGTCTCAAACCTACCAGTAACTAGACTACTGATTAATATACATAGATAAATTACACCCACAAAGACAGATATACACTACTAGTTTTTTTTTATGGCAAGTGACCATCGCCGCCCATGAAGGTCTGCAACTCAGGAGTCACAAACGCCAAATCAAATAAAAATCAAATACAAATCTAGATAAACAGAACAAATGTGTGTTCATCACATAGTTATGTGTCCTGAGTAGAATCGAAACCATGACCTTTAACTTACCAGCCAGTATCATCAATCCAAAGACCCGTCCATATTTTTTTTAAATTTATTTATTAAAAACTTAATGCACATGTAGTACAAAGGTGGTCAGGTGATGTAGAATTATGATGCAGTAGGTGCAACAATAAAAGTATTCTTTAATTATTATTTTTTACGTGTGGTAAACCCCTCGGGCCGTCACTCCGCCGGGGTTTACGGTGGGGTGGGGTGTCGGAATCAGACCAACTAAAACTACACGGTGTGCCACTCTGCGCCTGTAATAGGAGAGATCTGGGAACTGCTGTTATTAAGACATCCGGACCCCTCCTAACGCCTGAGACCTTCAACATTATTCCACAATAATATTTTGATGAGTTTGAACGAACACGAGCGGTTTCTCCAATCAATCACGCAACTTTCACGCTAATTGCTCGAGCAATAAAGCGTATAATAGCATTATGAATGCCGCGTACTTTATATAATCTGATAATCGATCGGTCGGTAGCATTATTAATCGTTGTTGCGGAGCCATCAAAAACGAAAGTGTATTCATGATTAGTCGATAATAATGAAGTAAGAGTATTAGCGATAATACTTTGATTCGATTAGAGTACTTACTCATTGGTGTTATAAATCGTTGACATATCTAGATATGATATGTGTCAAAACTGTGGAAGCGTCGAAAAAATAGGGTCGAACTGTTGTCCACTAAGTTCCTTTCCGCTATTGCTGTGTGATTCATCTGTGTTGTCGCTGTTACTACAAAAACTTGTTTTGCACGCACACCATCATAATAAATTTTGACCGCCATTTAGACAATATGAAATTACCTAATGTTTATTCGTTGGTTTCCCAATGTATTTTTGAGACGGCTTTATGTTTACTTTATTACGGTATAGGTTAATAGGCAGATGGGTGACCTGATGGAAAGTAACCAGTGCCTCCCATAGCCACATGCAATTTAAGATACACTAGTACGTTGCCGCCTTTTCCAAAGGAGGAGGAAGGGGGATGGGACGAAAGATTTGCTTAACATTAACATTTTCTGTGAGCCAAGGCATCACTCGGATCGACCTGGCCCATGTGTGCTAAATCATCGTTATTTTATGGCTTTCATATCTACAACAAGATCATATTTACAACAACCGTAACATTCTCATTAATGTTCTTCCAAAACTGCCCACCTTCTACCTACAAGTATTTCAAACAAGTAATAGAAACACATTGCAACTCATACAGTTCATTTTTTCGCCGTCTCTCTACTGACACTGATTAATGACATTGTGTAGACCCCGCAATAGGCTTTTAGATAACGGACCTTTATACGTCTACGGTTAGCGGCGAGAAAACGTCATGAAATAATAAACCTGACATTGGCAAAGTCGTGAACTTACTAGACGTGGGATTCCAGTGCCCTATTAAAATAGATTGTTCCCACAACGATCTGATAATTAAAAATATCAGATTCCGGTAGATACTTTGTTGACTTTGTTCACGATTTCATACTAGATGGGCAGATTTAATAAAAGGTTAATACAAACGGTGGAAACAATACGCTTCTTGATCTCTACGAGTACAACGTACGTATTTTTAGCATGAAATCAAAAAATACTTGATTAAGAGTGGGGTCATCCTCAAACAGAAGTAATAACAATTGACACAACTTATCATTTAGTGGTTATTTATTTGATATTGTATACTTATTTACAACTAAAATATTTAACAAGTCAATTTCAAACAAGGAAATTTCCTAGTCGTACAGAATAGATTTTTTTTAATGTATATATCGAAAAATATAGTATAATTAAATTTTTAAAACCTCAGCAGTTCCACTATTTAATCTATAAACATAAAACGTTTTTATTAAGATAAAAGTGATAGTTTATTCAATGCGACATGCGACCAGTCCATCGGGATATTGTAAATATCCTTGCGTTATAATAGCGAATAGTGGAATTGATACGAACAGAGAACATTATCATAATAAGGAAAAATGTTACTTCGTTGTGTTTTACTGATGGTATTAAAAGGCCTATTCACACTAACAGAAAACAGTTCAAACATGTAACATTTAAGCTTGAAGATTCCGGGGATATGTACATTCATCCTGTGATTGGAGAAACCACTAGAACAGGCACTTTGACTGGTCAGTTTAGAGTTAATAATTCACTGTATTCTATGTATGTATGTTGATTAAATACGAGTACACCTGGAAAATGTTATCAAATTTCCACAGGGATTAGCACATACGCTTTTTTTCATCTGCCGTCTTCCATCCAAAGGATTGGAAGACCTTTCTAAAGCTTTTTTTAACTTTAAACTAAGAAAAACTAACTCTGTGTTGTTTACATGGCAGTCACTCTAGGGTCACTGACACGCAGAGCCCAAATTAGCGGCAAATTTGAAATGCATCTTTGAGATTTTGCAAGTGGGGCACATTATCGACTGCAGCACGTTTGCCAGTTTTACTCTATAATGTAAAATTCTTAATTAAGGAAAGGAAACCTATTTGCTGCTAATCGATTCTGCAAACGCCACGTGTAAAGTACACGTGTTAAAACACGTTGCTATATACAGCTTTGAGCGTTCAAACCTGTGCCCTGTGCATACATACCTGAAATACTTGATAAATAGCTCTTTGTTCATAGAGAATAATTTGAATTCCCTTTCTACGGCAAATTGTACATTATTTGATAATTGCCATCTTTGGAATTGACAAGCTAAGGATAAGTGGTGGCTCTTAAATAATTGGGACTAATCCCACCCACATGCCCACCACTGTAACTCCTGTGCAGTGATCCACAGCAGTGACCCACGAACACACCAAGTTAGGACACTCGGGAAGTCCCAGGAAGAAATTAAACTGTCTTGGAACCCGCAACGAAATTAATCAGAAGAAAATTGGAGGAGTTGAAAATACAGTAAAGCCACTTCCCTCCTTAGCAAAGCGCACAGAGCATCCATTGTGAAATAGTGAAAATATAAACGCTCTTTGATTTGAATATTTATAACCTTTCATTTCTCTTTACAGCCCTCTGTAATGAGGACCCCAACGGCAACGTACCTCTAGGCAAGTCCTGCAACAGGTACTGGCAGTGCCAGGGTGGGTACCCTCGTCTCCAAAGATGCCCCGCCATGCTGGTCTTTGAAAGAAGGTCTCTGAGGTGCGTGGTACCGCCTACTGAGGAGTGTGATATCCCTACAACTACTGCGCCGCCACCAGAAGAGGAAACCCCGCAGGAAGTGAGACAGGTGAGAAGAAGAGAAAAAATGTTATTTGTTAATAATGTAAAAAGACGGGCCTGGTAATTCTGTAATGAATGTGATCGTGATTTGGGTTATTTAGGATTTCAGGTTATTTTTGTCAAGCTCTACTCAATACACCAAACTATTTCGAAAATAGAACAGGTTCATTAGATGTAAGGCTTGGCTAAGAAGAAGATCCTTTATCGAAGATCAGTGACAAAGCAATATTCCATTATTATGACGACTGGATGGCGTAGTGGTTTGTGTAACGGACTGCTATTCCAAAGATGATGAGGATGAGAACAGCATGATATTTGGCTCTAAAGTTCCTTATTTCATAAATTTTGATTTCAATATTTTTTATTGTGTTACACAACAACAAATCTGAATAACTATCTTTAGCTTCTAATATTATAATATTATATAATCCTATTATATATACATTAACAACCATAACAGTTGAGATATAACTGTTATGGTTGTTAATGTAATATTATCGATATTTTTAAAACTCAATTTCTATATTAATAGGCACGGCATTTTCTATGTCAGTATTTAATATGACCATAACTTTTTGTGACACGATATTTACAATTAATAACTTTTCAAAATAATGCACATTTAAGTCAACTCATCGATACCCAAGAGACCAATCGTAATATATATCGATTGTCCAATCGAGACTATCTACTCTATGTGGAGAGACATTTGTATCTCAAGAGGCACTTCGATATTGTCCTCGCCTTAATGACAGTGGAAGTCTCCAAGGTGGTATTGATTTTTCGTTGAAATTCTTGGTTTTGGCTTAAAATAGGAACAGAATTACATTTGCCATGGGCACTGAGAAACATCCTTAATTACTGCGGTATTAAGAAATGAGACAATTGCAAAACGTATTGAAATGCAATGGTTTTAGGGTTGATATTCGTTTAAAGGTTTGGGTACCCTTTTTAAATATCTAGTGCTAGTACAATACAGAGCTAAAGTACTCTTTGAGACGGTCCCATTTTATGGCAATTGTAATAGTATAACTTTACAATATCTAGCATTTATTACATAATAGTTTGAAGATAAATTGAAAATTACTTGCAAGAGGGAGCTACGGTAAGGGACACCTGCCAAAGTCTCATGATAGGGAAAAGAAAGAGAATATGTGTATTTCGTAAACATATTTTCTTTCTTTATTCCTTAGGGGACTAAAAAGGCCGGTGTCTGTCCGTCTCGTTATTTGAAATGCTGCCAAGACAGGGACATAAGTTGGACAATCTGGAACTTCTTATTGTATTTCCTTTAATTTACAGTGAGATTGACAACTAAATTTCGCAAGTAACTTAATCGGTAATAAAATTATAATTTACTCATGAAATGACACTTAACTTTTTAAAATATTCTGTTTCAGCCTCATCAAAGCAAGCGGCCAAGCCAAGAGTTTAAAGAAAACCGCCCAAGACCTAGAAATTAAGAACGTAACTTCTAGAATCTTCTAGAACCGACTTTTGTTCCAAATTTTTTCTCCTTTCGTCTTGAAAGTCCTTCCCACCATCCTTTCAAACCCAATAGAAGTAATTTATGCTTCATCGTTTTACTTAGTCTTATGATAATGTAATTATTTTAGATTTTAATGTTTAAGTGTAAAGAATCTATCTTAAAACTATGATAATACTCATCAGTGAATCTGGCGAAATTTCTATGAAGTCGGTACATCGTGGCAGATACATTATTATGACAATATTAATAGATACCCCATTATTGCACAAATTAAAAAACAAAATGTATAACCAGAGCGAAGAAGAAAATGTCTTTGAATGTTCTTAAATATTTCAATAGCTCGATTATCAAACTATGAATTTATGGGGACACTAATCACAACAGTTTAATTCAACTAGTTGCAACAGTAGAAAAAAACCGCTTTGTAGAATAACAGAAGTTTTATTATAAATAAGACTGCCGTTTTGAATACACACATACAGGCACAGTATTATCTGAAGTCCATTTTTTTTATTCTACATTTGTCAAAAAACTTATTGTTGCGGTGACTTTGCGGTAGTTCCTGTAAATACATATTGATTAAAATAAGTGATTTAAAAAAAAAATGCATTTTTTTTTATAAAAGAATTTGAATTTGGTATGAACTCAAATTATACTACAACAAAAGTACCATATTTTAAACAGCGTAATTCATTATTTAGATATTTACGGTCTTTTTCTTCTTTCTTACAATAACAATAAATTTTAAATGAGTATAAATTAATCACGATAATAAAACGGTAAATTTTCCCTAATTTTACAATTTACTGAAATCCTTTGCCAAATTATAGAACACTGTATTCTTAATTGTTGTCGACTTGAGATAAATATTTACCTTTTGAACGAAATTTGTTTCAAGTATTAGCAACTCGAGCTTCTTAAATGTTAAGCCGCTATTAAAAAGCTTTAAAAGCAGTGTAATTCTGTTAGCATATATTTTTACTTCAGAAGAATAGATAAAAATTATCATAATAACGTTAAGTCTCGATCAAGGGACTGATGAAGAAGGCGTTGTACTTGAAACAGTGAGAATTAGATGCTTCGTGTCTTTGGAGCCTTGGACTCCATGCCTGTGTTTAGTCCCTGTACGCGATAACAGTTATGTACTATTTTATTATCTATTTAAAATTGTAATTTATATGTATAAGATTAATGAAAAGCATAACAAATTTATTGTTTAAAATTCATTCGTTTCACATTGACTTTAATTGTTCTCTGTATAAAACTCCGTGGTATAAAAAGAGCTTTCAATGTTGTATTGTCACGATGATCTGACTGAAATTCATTAAGTTCTTTTGACTTAGTCAATATTTATACTTGTAAGTTCATCTACTCTTAACGATAGTCAAATAAAATATTATTTACTTATTGTTTTTGTTATTTATGCATACGTGCGTTGCGTTTAAATTTCGGATCTGTGTGTGGGAGCTGTTTATAATAGTTTCTCATCATTATCATCATCAACAGCTGTAAATAGTCCACTGCTGGACATAGGCCTCTCCTTAGAAAGAAGGTTATGGCCCACTATACCTCGCTGGCCAGACGGATCGGTATAGGGTTTGTTTCAAATTTTCCTTCTGGTTTGGTATAGGGTTTGGTAATCCTGCAGAGAGAAGGGAGCATGCCTTAGTCGGCTATTACGCCACCCACGGGATGAATAGGAGTGGTGGTCACCACACGGACATAGTAGTTTATATTTGTTGATAATTCTCATGACGTTCTATGGCTGTCGTAAATCTACTCACATTTTATAAAAGTTCAATCATGAGTAAACCATAGGTAATTAAACATCCACTAGATTACACATCTAATCAAGTAACGTCATTTCCTTGGTAGTCACTAATTTTGTAAAGTTATTTAATACGAGTAAGTATGAAGTTTGCGCTACACAAGATAATTTCTCTGCAGTTTGAACATTCATTATAAGGAATTTACCTACCAGTTACCTTTACCAGTGAACTGAAACCTAAAACTGATCAATGTGTGTAACAATTGCATAGGAATTATGAGCAAACTTTAAAAGTAGGATGGCCTATAAAATAACGAGTCTAGGCAGCAACACCTTTTCCTAAATTGAATTGCTTAGACTGGTCACCGTAGTCCTAATGAAAAATGAATGTACTTGTAGTTGTGTATGCGAAAATGTACAGAAGTTTACGTACAAAAAAGGTGGCTTCTATCGTGCATCAGAAAAGAAAGATAATGTCAGTTTTATAAAATATTCATTTGTGTTGATCATGTACCTACCCACAAGGCAAATAGAGTACTCTAATCCATACAACACATTAGGCACAGAAGAATATCAAATTGATACCACCATTGATAAATTGATATCGAAGGAAGTACCTAATGTAATCAACAGTCAGTTTAAAATAAACTTTAACTCAACCAATTTCAATATAAAGAAATTATTAACCAACATTACAGGAGCGTAACTTTTAAATTGCATTGCTTTTGTATATTCTTGGGCACAAGAAAATAAAAATAGGATAAACGAATTCTAAATTAACTATAGAACCGAAGATTATCTCCCGGACGGTTTAGGGTCGGAAATTTTCTTATGTCCGGAGCGCCAACCTTAAAATACGCCATTAAGCTAAGAATATTACTGAACCTTTGAGCGAACAAATACACAAACAAGATGAAACAACCTACGTAATTTCTGTAAAATAGCTAAACACTTTTACGCAAATTACGATAAAACCACTCAATAATACCATTTCCGGGTTCAATATCTTTAAAACCCATTAAATTAACCCCTTGAATACCGCTGGGAAATAAATAAATAGTTTAAACAACCCTCGGAATCCTGTGTAGAATCATGAGTAACATATGCTATTAGTTCCATGTTTCTTGGTCATTACAAGTCTCGAGGGAATAATACTATAGGGAGGAGTTCCTTAATTCGTTGCAATACTTTAATGCATTTTTCCAAAAAACGGCTGAACCAATTTAGAAAATTCTTTTTTTATTTTAAAAGCAGGTATATTTTCCAGTATATTATATATTACTATCAGGTCAAGATCTAGTAAGATAATCCTAAACAAGGAAGGATACAATTTTGTTTCACCCTATTTGCCTTATTTTTCTCGTGTTTCTTTACAGTAGAAATAAATCTCTGACTTTATACAAAGTAAGTAAGTGAAACGTATTTGTATACGAAAAGTGTCAACAATGTCTCTTGCACGTAGATGTAAGCGTGTGAAGTAGGTAGGCTTGATTTGTTCCAGTAAAAGCTATGTTTGTGAAAAATCAAATAAGTTCTGTTAATAGAACGAAGGTCTTAGAAAATGGTGAAACAATCTGTATCAACAATATTTTTTTCTACCCTTAGGCAACAATAACATTGACCTTATTGAATATAATACAAATTTCGGAAAACTTTCCTGGAAATAAGTATCAATAAGTTTATTTTAGTAAATTGGTTGGTCGTATGTACAAAAAGATCAATTAATGTACTTCACAAGTATTTATATTATAATGATTTTATTTATCAGCATTTAAACATAAGTTATAATTACTACTCATAATACGAAATATGTAATCACTGAAAGGTCCTCGTGTCGAAGTGCTTACGCCATCTTTAAAAAATAGTATCAAAAAACCGTTCGAGGTACTCACTCGGCCATTGCACGGTCAAATATCACTTTCAGCGGTCAGTGTCGCCTAGCTCCTCGCAATAGCGCCTAAGTGAATTATAGGAATTCACCTGAGCGCTATTAGAAGCCCTCTAGGGTTCTTTTAATATTAGCAGTAAACATATTTATTCTAAAGTGTTCTACCTATTTACTAACTATATATAATGGAAATACTGTTTTTTTCTTTGAGCCACTTCTCAATACTCTTGATATCTGAGTGGTCTACACCTTCTCGCTTACGGCTCACGGCTTTTCGGGCTAGTTCAACCTTTAAATGAGAATACGAGCTAAAAATGATCGCAGAATAGAGATGTTGTTGAGAAGATTGGCTGCTATACAATTATTTAACAATAAAGTGGTTGTAGGTTCGAGCCTACCCACCCAGTCTGCTTCCACTTAAATTTCGAAATAGATTCACACAAGTATTTAGTTTATCTAAAGTAAACTTGAAGTATATCAGTAATATACCAAAAATTACTACATGTTACGACGAGAAGAGATTTAAAATTTCGGTTAAAACGTGTAAATCTAAAAATATACGACGAATTAAAAGTAAAGTTGAATCGTGTTCAATTTAACGCGAGCGAGTAGATGGTGTGGAATTTAATTTGTCGCAAAGTACTTCTGTGTCTTGAGTTGTGACTGTACGTGAGGGGAGAAAGAATGTGCGCTATCGTTCAGAACAAAATTGAGAACGATTTATCTAGTTGAACATGGAATAATGCTGTAGTGCTTCTAAGTGTCTCTTAGCCACGTGCCTAAAAAAACCATAATAGGCAAGTTGTCATTTTCCATTTATACAGTAATGTGTAAAAAATATATGACAATATTTATCTTAGATCTTGGTTTCAGCTCGTATGTTCAGGCTTGCTTGGAGCTATACCCCGGCCTCACAGGAAGTTTTGTTGCTTTTCACTGAGTAAGTGAGCCCACTGCCTTATCACCCATCCTGGAAGGCATTCGACGCACTTTTGCCTTTTGAGTTGTATGTGTCAGGTTAGTCGTTTCAGGTTAGCCGGAGGTTTGGGGCTTTGATAACCTCACTCAATTGGTAAAAACCGTGAAAGATATGTACTTAACACCGGTTTTCTGTGAGGTCATAGTATCACTAAGGTCAACCAAGCCCGTACGTGCCAAAACTTACAGTAATTTCACCATTCACAAGACAACTCTTGAAGCATGGTTGGTAAATGATGTTTTTAAATAATAACTATTCTAACACTAACTAAACCAGCGACAATATATTTTCTGAATGGCACTGGTTCATTGCCTGGGACACATTTTCACATTGTAGGCA